GATAAGGTTGTGTTAAGACTGGATCCAGTGTTCCGCCCTAAGATAAATTCGATTTGCCACAGATCAGAGGAAATAATTTTACCACATTTTTGTCCGAAACCCGTTCATGACAAAAAGAAAGAGCTGCATTGTTTGGATGTTAGATGTGCTCTTAGCTTTTATATTGATAGAACCCGGCAGAGCAGAAAATCGGAGTCCTTGTTTGTGTCTTTCAGGAAGTCTTCTATGGGGGCACAGGTGTCCACAGCTACCCTGAGTCGGTGGATTAAGGGATGTATAATTCTGTTATATAAGGCCAGAGGGTTGGACCCTCCAGAAGGAATTGTCGCACATTCTCTGAGAGGGGCGGCTACATCAGCAGTTTATAGACCCTTTCCACTGGCGGTCAGTTCACTCTTTTAGAAGGCGTTATAGAATGGACAAGTTGGCTTCGGCAGAAGCGGCCTTTGGTCGTAGAGTCCTGCAACACGCTCTGTAGGTATCTGACAACGTTCCCTCCCTTGGGGCTAGCTTTCTTAAGTCCCAATCGTACGGACTGTCCCGCTATCCGAACCACTGGAGAATGGAAGATTTGTTTCACTTACCGTGAAGCTTCCTTTCTCGGTGGTTCGGGAGCAGGACAGTCCAGCCCACCCAGTTGGAGGGTTATCTTTGGTCAGGCTGCGGGCGATGTTGCAGGACGTCGACTGGTGGGATATTTCTCAGACTGCAAGGTTCAGTTCCTTGATTGGGGAAATGTGTAAGTTTCTGTCTTTGAACCAGTTTTCTGTTGACAGTTCTAATTGGTTATTAAAAGTTGATGTTTAAGTCTTCAAGTGGAGTTTTCTCTTTGTGGGAGAAGTGGTCTTCCTGTTACTTTCCAGATGAGGTGAGGGCTCGTGTATAAACTGGGGAAGCCACAGAGGATAAGCCCCTCCTCACAGGGATCAAAGATCGGAACTAACCCTGCAGGAAGGGGCGGAGCTTATCCCAATCGTACAGACTGTCCCGCTCCTGAACCACAGAGAAAGGAAGCTTCACGGTAAGTGAAACAAACCTTCCATTTTCTGCCAGCAGTAGGCTAGGTACTGGGCAGAATGCACTAACGGCAGGGTTTCTGTGCAAATCGTTTCTGTCCTGACCCTCTAGATTTAAACATTATACAGTGTGATTTCTGTGGGAAGCCCTTACTCCTAAATCCCCCAACCCAGAGACCTATGTGTGCTCCAGTATACATGTGGAATGCCCGTTGCTCACACATGCTTTCCCATTCAGTTCAGCAGAGGATGCTGTTCCAAGTGTGTATCCTTTTGTGTGTTCAGAGCTGCTCCTCCATGGAAGTGAGTGGAGAAGCTGTTGTGTGTTTTAGAGCAGTGCCCTCTCTGGATCACTAGATCAGGTGTATTCTGCTTGGAATTAGATGTACAAGATGGGGTGGTCAAAAGCAACCATGGTTTGGCAGCGTAGTAGTGAGCCTGAAGTCAAAACATATGTGACAGTTAGTTGAGAATCTGTGCCTTTCATGCAATGCACTCAGGGATTCTGTGACAAGTGTTCGTTAAGGGGAGAAATAGTGAAAATCATTGCTCTACATCAGGGATTCCCAATGTGAATAATAAGAAGAGATGGGGTTTATACCCTTCCCCTCCCCTCCCCACAACAGACAGCCTGTTAGGTAGGTGGGGCTCAGAGAGCTCTGAGAGAAACTGCTCCTGAGAGAACAGCTCTGAGAGAACTTGTGATTGACCCAAGGTCACACCATCAGCTACAAGTGGAGGAGTAGGGAATCAAACCCAGTTCTCCCAGATTAGAGTCCACGCACTTATCCACTACACCAAACCATGGTGCCCACCGAAGCCTTTTCTGGTGCCCACAAAGTGTTTTTAGAAAGTGGGTGGGGCTTTTGCCCAGCAAGGCTTCTTATTGGCTTTTGGAAATTTGATTGGCTGTTCAGACTTTTAAAAACCTTGCTGTGGCAGCAGCTGCCACCACAGCACAAGAATCTTCCATATGAATAAAGGGTAAGCTGTGGCAGCCATTTTGTGGTTGCACCCACCAAGCTGTGTCAGAATTCCAAATGTGCCCACAGGCTCAGAAAGTTTGGGGGACCCCTTGATCTGCAGAATTTTAGAAACAGAAGAATGTGCTTAATGACTCTGTAAGAAACAATAGCAAGGATTAGTATTATCTGTTGCTCTTTCTTTTTTCCTCCCCTGACAGAAGATTGCCCATCTTATCAGACAGTAAACCAAGAAAATCTTACAGACTCCAAATCCAATTGTTCCACCGTTGGAAACAAGAGGGAGAAAGTAAGCAGTCGTCTCATCTCTGGTAATATAAAGCAGTATTTTAGCAAAATGTTGACATCAACACCTCTGCCTGCAAAGAGTAAGAAGAACGCTTCCAAAGCAACCAGGCAACCAGAGGGGCCAATTGGCAAACCCTGCCAGCTTGCTACAAGTGAATGCCAGCAGAAGCTGTCATTGGCTGAAGCAGGCAAACCAAATGAGCTTGCACCACACAGAGAAGCAATTAGCGAGGCAAGAGAGGCAACTGGCTCAGTCGTTCAAGAATATACTGCTGAACGTCAGATCTGCATCTATGAAGACAGGGGGGATGTGGCTGTTTCTCCAGTGAGAGGGAACGCCGAACTGTCAGCATCAGACATAAATGTGGAAGAAGATGCTGGTGATGACAGTATTTATTTCACTCCTGAACTTTACGATGAGTCAGCAGAAGAGGAAAGTGAATTGCTAGTGCACGCTTCTAGTGATATGGTGACTTTGTTAGAACTTGCTGAGTCTGTTGCAACTGAAGAGCCTCTGGAAATAGGTGCCCCAAGCCCAGTAGATACAGCGGTCGGAATGCAAACCGATGCAGCAGCAGAGACAGGGCACCATGGAATCGTGCAAAGTTATATGTGTTGTGATGACAGTGCAGTCGGCACAGCTGTATGTGGTGCTAGCATAGGTGAAGCTGAGCAGAGAGAAGAGACCCAGAGGAGGAAAAGTAAACTTTCCAGATCAAGAAACAAAGGTGTGTCTCTCTGTCAGTCAAGTGGTCATTAGAACCTCAGGAATCAGTTCAGCTAGGTTTTCCGGACAGGATCATGAAATAATTATTCTTTCAGTTTTACGTTAGTTTTTATGTAAGTTTTAGTTTTATGTTATGTCACAGGATCCCATCAATCCATTTTTCAGCCAAGCAAAGCTAGTTACAAATCATCTGATGCCAAGACGTTATAGCTGACCTGTGTCTCCTCCTCCCTTCCCAGTTATGTTTAACAAAGGAAAACGAGTGGCATTACGTCGTTGCATTGTGAGGTTCCCTTCCCTGCAAACGGCGGCTAATTAAGTGGACTGGGATTGGGGGAAGTTGCTATATCGAAGTATCATGCCTTGCATGTTGCGTTACAAATGGCAGGGAAGAGAGGAGGGGGAGGCAGGGGTCCCTTGCCTTCAGCTGCAGCCGTACATTGGCTGTAATGTGCACTTCTGTCCTAAAAATATATATTCATGATAGCCTACATGCTGTGAATCCCTAGCAGAAAGCACTGACGGCTTGGGATCATCCCCTCCTTTCTTTGGCCCAAAAAGCCATTTCCCATCCTGGGCAAATTTATTTCCAGGGTCAAGGGACTTGCATATACTAATAGGGGAAGGGAATGAGATCACCCTTTTTTGCCTCCACTCACAGAAGAGAAAGAAAGGGGAGATTTCACCCCCTTCCCTCTCTCCACTTCAGCAACCTGACCTGTGCGCTGTTAGTCCATGCAAGTCCCTGGGAAGAAACTTTCCTAGGATCAAAAAATGGCTCCAGGGAGGAGGGGGAAGGCTGGAGAAGACCGTGGATCATGGGATGCACAGTCCATTGGCTTCTGCCGTTACTGTGAGTACAAGCACTGTGGACTCTGGGTCTTTTCAGGACTTCATGTCTAAGGAAATCTCTCTTGTAACAAATGAACTAGGCTATCTTGTGTGGGATAGCCCTGTCTCATAGCCTGTGCTGTCCTGAGAAAGAACAGGGGCTTTAAAACCAGGAAAGGTGTGGTAATAAAATTAATTCTGCACAGCCAAGTTTGTTATGTAATTCCATCTTTGGCACACTCCCGACTTCTGTTACACTAAAAGGTAACACTTGAATAGGCTGTGCGTGGTTTGGAGAGAGACAAGTCCCCCACGGGTTGGATCCAGTGGAAGGAATTCCCACCAGAGGAATGGGGTTTTCCTGCCTCCCCCCATTGCGCTGCAGCCCAAAGGGCTGCCCAGAATGCTGCTCCTGGGGGGGACAGGGTCCCCAACAGGAGTAGGATGAGGGGTGAATCTACCATGGAATCAGCAGAAATCTCCCTCCTTCTGTTAGTAGGCTACGGCTGGATCCAGCCTTGGTCATTGCCTACTACAGCTTAAATTGTATACAACTGCACCAAAAAATTTTTTTAAAAAGGAAGCAAAATCTTTTCTGGTAAAGTGTGGTGACCACAGAATCCTCTAGACAACCTGGTTTTACAAGGATGGCATATATGTATCGATAGTATATATGGTGACCTCAAAGTTTCCATATGGTAGGAAAAACTGGTGCGCTGCTGCTGCTGTTGTTGCTTTTCTGCTCTAGGATGTACAAAGAACATTTTCCCCTTTATAGCGGATTGGCTGTGCCATCAACCGAACAAGAGGAGTGTCGTCTCTGGAGTTTGCAAAGACCATGCGTATCTTAGCAGTCAGGGATGCCTTCTGGATGTGTACGTTTTTGGTAGAGGAATGTGCAGTGGGAGACAGTTGTTACACTTTACAAGACGTTGTGTTTCTCCACAGGAAAAAAAAAGAGTGTGAACAACAGTCTTGCATCTTTCAGCAACTCTGTGTATGCCTCTGGGAGGCGTAGCCCCATCAGAGCTGCTAAACACAAACATGGGTAGTTAAGGATGTGTGGCTGTTCACTCCTCTTCACTTGCCGTGGGAAATCCCAGCAACACAAATACTTGCCATGTGCAGTGTGAAGCGGTTCTCAAAACTGCTTTGCTAGAACAGCCCCATAACAGCCCGGTTTTATTTTGGTTTGTTAACTTGTCTTGCCAAGAAATATCTGCTAATAAACAGAGCAGATTATAAAAACATATCTGAAAGATATGCTGTTCTTAGAAGTCTTTTATTTCCACTGCAAATAGATACATATGAATTACTTAGTAAATTGGTGCTGGCGATATTTCTTCTGACTGCTGCCGTATATTGCTTGGGTTCTTTGATACCAGGCTGCAAAATAATGGCCCCTTTATATGCACAGTTCTCTTCCAAATCTTGATCAAAGAAGATCACACAGACATTTTGAACATGCTGCATCTTGTTTTATTATTATATAATGGGATGTGAATTGATTGTCGTATTGTTACAAAACCAGAACCAGCCTGTTACAAGTAATTGAAAAATGTAGTGACTTGAATGTTGGGAGGGGGCTGGACTAAAAACACTGTTTCTGAATCATGCAGACCCTAAAATAATCAAATCCTGAATTTATTGAAGGGCTGAAGGTACAGAGAACTTATAAACGAAGAATCAGGAAAGCTAGTAACAGAGACTGCCAAGCCAGTGACGGAAAGGTAAAACTGAAAAGAATTGATAGTTGATGAGTATGGTGGTAGTTTAAGATATCAGATTTGGAAGACTGCTCAGTTGTAGAATTCATATCAGGTTAATTCCGAGTGATGCTGATGTGACTTCAGTTCACTGCAAGTTGGAGTCCCTTCCATTGTTGCCTTAACAACACGGGGAGCAGTGCCGCTCTTCCCTGTGGTCCCGTAGGTGGCCGCCCCCTCCCCTTCTTCGTCCCTTGCTAAAATTGCTCCCCGTTCCATGTGGGTGACAGAGGTATGGGAAGGGGCTGTGGCAGAGACTCCTCCCACATGATCGTAAACTTCCAGTGTGGTATTTGAAGGGTTTGGGGCTGCATTGGCTCTCATACCACTTCAGGAGTGCAAGCAAAGTGCTCAACACATCATAGAATGTCACAGAGTTTTGCAGTGATTCCCAGCTCATAGGAGCCAAGTGCAGGTTTAAGGTCCTTTCCTATCCCCCCCCCCCTTCTTCCGCCTTGTGAGGGGCTGCCTAAAGATTACAGATTCAGGTTACGAAGGAAAACTGACCACATGTCTGTTTTACATCCCTTCTTTATGAAGTTTTATAAGATCACCTAAGAAATGCATTCTTGACAATATACTCTGTGATTCAGAATGTGAAGGCCATGTCGGCCTGGTTCTTACTTTACTACACTGGCATGGGGAGGAGCTACAACCTGTGGTCTGGGACTTCTGATTCTGTGTCTAATCCCACCAGAAAAGGGTTATAATCTTGGTGCTTACCCCCAAATTCTAAATATAGTCCCAGTTTTGGGGTTGTTGTTTTTTTCCTGACAGGTCTGTAAGCCTTTTCTTGATCAGGGCTACCATTTGCTGCCTTTTCAAAATGAGTATGGGGAATTTTAATTCATTTAAATATATATAATACTTGTAAAATGTTCAGATGTTATTTTTATCTCCTTATATTTGTTTGAAATTATGAGACGCACCTCCTGGGCACCTGCGACAGCCTTCTATTCAGTAAATGAAGGAAACAACCCCCAAGCCTAACATGTCACCAATGATAAATCGCTAGCCGGAGGGGGGAAGGGGGCAGCCATTTTCTTGGGCTGCTCCTCTAGTGATGAAGTTCCGTGGCTCTTAATAGGTTAAGATTTATATTTGTTCTGCTTATCAAACATCACTGAATCCCTGAGCTGCTGGGATTCAAAAGTATCTCCCGTATAATGTATGCAGGTTGAGCCAATCATTTTATTTTAATATGGTGCATGTTTTTATTGACGGTGAATGATGTTAATTTCTAAGCAATAAAATATTGATCCAAATGCTTTCAGTACAATGACTAATTTATTTCTGTTGGAACCAATGATTTTCATTAGTGTGTTAAGTGATGAAAGAGCATTATGTTTTCTCTCAAAATAATTATCACTGTGCATATTCAGACACTTTAAATTTGGCTGTCAAAGTTTATATCTCTGTAACTATTCCGTGCTGAGGAAGGAAACACCGAGAGGCTCGATTTGCAAGGCAAGGCCTGTACCACAATCTATACAGAGCTGAAACGCTACCTAAAATAGCTGGTAAGTTTTCATTTTGTCTTGTTTGTGTTTTTTAGCTGCTTAATACCAATCTCTCTTTTGCGTATTGCATTATTCTCGCTGCTTTTTATGGCCACACCACCCCAGTTAAGATTTGGACAGGCTTAATGTTATCGTTGATCTTTTTTCTTCAAACATATCCAGTACTCTATCAGTAATGCTTCGAAAGGCACCTTCCAGTTTCAGAAATGTTTTGCTGTTTGTTTGTTTGTTGAAAAATTTGTAGCCCACCTCTCCTACATTTGTAGTCGCTAACAACCAACAGTTTTTAAATGACAAGATCTTAACCTATAAAATACTGTAATAAAAACAGCTAACCTCAACATGTCAGAACATAACCATCTTAAAGCAATGTCCAAAAAATAATTAACCTTAGTTCCCCAAATGCCCTCTCAGATGAGCTGCTGGACAGAACTTCTGAAAGGACAGAAGAGAGCGGGGGGTGGGGGGATGGAGTTCTCAGGGAGCCCTTTCCAAAGTACTGGGGCTACGTTTGAAAAGATGGGAGGTGCTCCTTCAAGACGTTTGTAGAGGTGCTGTTTGAAGAATACAGACCCCAAACCTCTTCAGACACGTGGGTCTAGTTGTATATGGGTTTTTTTGCCTCCTGGCCTGTGTTTTGAGTCCACCCTTCTTTTTCCTACCATTGCCAGTCAGCTTGCTTCTGGAAATTCACACTTGAGTACAAAGATGATTGTCTTCCAGGTGTCTCTACCCCCCCCCCCAAAAAGCAGGTATTCATAGAGACACTGTGTCCTCCTAATATGGCCACTCCCTTTTAGCTACCTTGTCTGTCTGTCATTGATAGACCTATTATCCATTAATGTGCCTCATTTTTCTAAAACTAAGTTATTGCCCTCAAATTCCATTATTGCTTCCCTTTATCAATCCTCAGCCT